CCAAAAATGAAAAAAATCGAACCATGGGAATTCTAGATATTTCATTTTAAACATTGTAAACATATTTAGACTCGAGTCAACACGTCGCGGGGAGTCGAAATAACATTGAAAATAACGTTTACCTCTAATAGTACTACTAAACTTGAAATTTTGCAAGAAAATTTTAATATTAATATTTTTTTTCGATTTATTTTCCGTCGAATGCAAATTTTTCTGTCCAAATTATGCAGATAGCACGATGAAAATAGAGCGATCTCATTGGTCGAGAGCTCACGTGACAACTCGCTAATTGCTTGTCGTACCTCCTCTGTCATTGTACTGTGTTCTCGGTGTTTCATTGGCCTGCGCTATTTCCAGCGGAAACAGTAATCTGCAGAGGTTATTGGACGGCGCCCGAGATACTTCAATTATACAAATTGGCGGGAAATTTTTATTTATTTTTTTTAATTTACGAAAAGTTAATCAATTCAATGAATATTTATTTGTTTTCAATTGTTGCTTGTTTTGTTTTCTTTCATTCATTCACAAAATGAATAATAAAACAATTATTGAATTCTGCTTGCGCAGGATACCAGAATTCATTCAGACCTCGGTCAATGTTTTCTGCCTCAGCCTTCGGCTTCGGCAGATAACATTGACCTCGGTCTAAATAATTTTGGATATCCTGCTCAGCCTCATCCAATAATTGTTAATTATTCAGTACTCTAATTTGTCTTAAAACGTCGTTTACATGTTCAAAACGTTTTTAGAGTACTACAATCTTGGACAAAACCCTTGAGACCATTCCAGCTAATATTACAAAGTAATTGAACATTCAGCCAAAAAAACCCCCCCCCCCCCCCAGTTCAATGTTGTGAACAACGCCGAAACAACTTTTGGTAATATACCATGATACAAGCAGAATAATAACAAGTTCAACATTGACTATAGTTGGGGGAGCGGGGGTTTAAGAATGGCAACATGATTCAACGTGGAGTTTAATTATCATAAAAATACGCGAATTTTCTATAGGGGGGGAAATAGTCTCAACCAGTTATGTAACTTGTCTGTTTTCGACGATAATTATATTAAAAAGAGAAAATCATGTTGTTAACATTTTATATTTCATGCGGCCGGTGTAGGTCTTTGTTCTCGAATGTTCATGACAAATAATGTTTTTGTAAACAAAAAATTAACATTGTTTTTAGAAGCAGTTTATATTTAGCTGACTTTCGTTTGGCCTTATAATAAATAACTTATTCACTGAGCTTGTTCATGTCCAGACACTGGCGGTAGAGCTAGAGGGGAACTCTAGACCCCCCTACTTTCGGGTAAAAATTCGACCGGGTAAGAGACTGCATGTGCACGTGTTTCGTAGAGAGAGATTGATATCACCATTGAACACACACAGTTAAGGGAATTTAGTCAGTTCAACGTAAAGTACCCTAAAAACGCAGGAAATACCGTTTCCTGTGACTAAAAACTGATGCAATCATTTTTTCGGGGAAGCAACCCAGGTTCTATCTAGCAAGCAAGGGTATGCCCCAGGCCCTGCTTAAATATTGCTGCTGCTTAAGTAATTGGAATGAGCGAAAATAATTTGAGTCATGGCTATAGTCTGTACACTGTACAGCAATTGATGATTCCCCTTATTACGTTTTCGTAGCGCTTTGCATTGTGGTTATAGTGGTATCACTGATAAAGATAGCGGTCTCGAATGAAAATATTGAATGTTTTCGCGAATATTTTGCTGTTGGCTATCGCGCACCTGACCCTAGCTTTTTTTAAAAGTTCTTGCACGGGTCAGGACAAAAGATAAGCCATCTTGAATATCAGTGATACCACTATAACCCGCACAATGCAAAGCTAGCGCTACGAAAACGTAATAAGGGGAACATCAATTGACCCAAGATCGTATGACGTATGGTTTTATTTTATTTTATTCTCACAGGACACACACTCATGATATACCTTTTATTATTATTATTATTATTAGTGACAATTGCTGTGCGTTAGCAGATCAGACAGGACATCATTTTTTGTAGCAAATGTATAAAAATATTCCCAGGCTGTGTGTCCACATTTGGCGGGCAAAAACACTTAAATGATTAAACCACTCAAAAGCAGGGATGTATTAACTCAATAATACCCGAAAGGAATTCGGTTTATCTCAAACGAGTTAAGGCCTATTAAAATAATATTTCTGTTTTTCATCGTTTGTTTGGAATAGAATTGGGGCGGGCGGGCGGAATTTTTTTTTCTTTATACCCATCTATTTTTTTCTTTTTATATACATCGTTCAGAGTAGCATTATCTGCCACTCTCGAGCACCTACCCAGGGCTTCAAAACCAGCGCACCAGATCTGGTTAATTGCGTGGCGGTGGGCGGCGTGGTTCAGTTGAACACTGAAGTATTATGAAAATATCAAAAACGACAGGGCTGCAGCATGGCGCCCACTGCTCGATATCCGATTATTTTCCGACGGCTCCCAACAAAAACCGAGAATAATATTTTAAAAAATTTTTTGGGCGGCCAAATTTTCAGGGGCGGGCGGCGATGAAAAACAGAAATATTTTTTTAATAGGCCTAACCTGTAGTTTTTATAATATAAATATATAAATTGTATCGTCTATCGATGATTGTATTACAAGTGGTGCAGTGATATTCACTTAGCTACATATTAAGACATTATTGGGTTTCGTTTCCCACTTATAGCTGTATAGTAAGCAACCCGCAGCAATACCACGCAGCATCAACCTGTGCATCAACTGACCTACATGGTTGTCATTTGAACTTTCATGTCGATTTAGGCTGATCTCTATGTTAAAATGCGTTGTTGATATTTCTTTGCGTTGTCAGCTATAACCACAGGCCCACAGCAGGTTGAAGTTGCCTACTTTGTGAAACAATCTAAGGTCTGTAGGTGATTAACTGTTGAACCAATGAAAATCAAAGCACTCCCTGTATTCACCTTGAATTGATCCCTCCCCTCCCATCGTGGTGGAACAAAGAAGTGAGAAATGTCGCACAATTGGTGACAAATACCCATAATGACATATAAGCATTCCTAAAACTGGCTCGTCGTTTGATGAAGGACATGGAATAACAACTTGGGCTGTATAATATGGTTGTACAATTCTTGTTCATTTGTGGAGTACATCACAACACGTCACATTGGAATACTAAAGAGGGAGAATATTATCACATTAAATTCACGAAAGCCGAAAGGAAACAAAGCCTAATTTGCGCGGATTCTTGACGCGTGCGTTTGGTGGTAGTGTCAAGTGACAAATCTCTTTAATACTGTGTAGCAGTTTATTCAAGAAAGATAATCGAATGTTGGTTTTGGTGAAAAGCTTATTTAGAAATATGAGTTTATTTTGCGCTGTTCTTCTCATTTTCTGTTCAAGACAAACTGGTGAGTTGTTAGTTATATAATCTGCTGTCTGTTGTAATTTATCTCGCCAGTAGGGGTTTATCATTTCAGCACTCCTTGCTTGTGGGCTGTGACTGCTTTAGATATCTCGAGCATTTTCTAGCATTGAATACTTCTACTAGATATCATTTTCTACGAGTGCTGTACAACATAGTGCGTATATTTTCTATTTATTTTGCGACATATAACCTGATTGGTGTTATATTTAACTGTGACAATGTGAAACGGTTGTGATATGCATTACGCCATTCACATGAACCACAGTTTCTGGTCATTCATTTCATTATGTCCGATCAGTGGCCATATTCGTATCTTTGATTTATGCCCTGCAGTATAGCTGTGTTATACCTAGAATAACTGCGAATCCTGTCGCCTGTGATTGAAAACAATATCAGTTAATCAATGAGAGAAGATGATAAGAATTAATACGGCATTTTAACCAAGAGCAACTGGACATTGTCCGTCTATAAATCACAGCTTTAAATACAGCTATCATTCTTTATTCCTTGATTGCGAAATATACAGAGAACAAATGGTTTTCTTATCTCTCCGTCCGACAAGACATCCCCTTGCTGTCTCCGGCATCTTTCCTTAATATGAATGCTCAGTAGGAGAGATGAATTGAGGCAATTGATGTCATATTGCCGACTTTGTACGGACGATATATCTTGTTTCTGATGATGATTGTGTTTGTAATAACAGATAAGCTAATGGTTCGTAAATCATGTCAGTATATAATATTCCATGAATTGATATGGTTCTTATAAATTTTTATGTTCAGTAGAACATGAATAGCTAAGAATTCGTTTCCGTTATCTCCATATGACCTTTATATAGCACATTCTGCGGGCTTATAATTATTAAATTTCAGTTCGATTAATTTATATGTACATGTTCTTCTCACTGAATTTTCTAATTAAGGTTACTCCACATGATGGAAACCCATTGCACCAAAAAGCTCACCACGCGCTCAGTTTTTTTAGGTTTTCTGCCACAAATTTTGCATGGATGATGATATTTATCATCATCCAGAATGCTCGAGCAATGATCTAAGTCCATTTAATAAAAATTCTACATCTTCAAATTAAAAACTGTAGTTGGTACGTGTTGTTTTCGAAAATACGATGACAATCGTTGGCGGCGCACAACAAAATGTAGTTAATTTAAACACAGATTGAACAAATTCGTATATATAGTTAAGCCGCATAATTCCTCACAGATTTCAACCGGCTTAGCTTAAATCTATCAGGCTTGCAAATTGTTGTCAGGGTCTTTAATTTGAACAATAATAATTGAGACTATTCATCGTTCTAATCAGTATTTCATTCATTAAATGACTGTCTTTATTTTTTGTTACTATGTCAAAATTTGTACATCTGTATATCAGTCATCATACAAATTTAATATGTAATCACTAATGTATCTGAATTCTCGTGAGTTTTCAGTTCTCATGTACCAAATGTTTTCACAGAGTATAGCTGTGCAGGGGTCTCTTTCCCTTAGTCGAAGGCAAACTGTTACATGGCGATGTTATAATAACAGAGTCGCAATACAAACAGATAAGACAAACATTTAATATTAGTGAGCCTGTTTAGTTATTTTCTCTACAAACACGGCATGATCTATACTGCAAACAATGGCAGGTGAAAATTAAAATCGGCCGATTCTGTTGCTTCACGGTTGTTTGAAGTTAAGCTGTGAAAACCGTGAATCCACAGCCAATGATTAAATTTATTCGGCGAAATATTGTACCTTGCATCTCGGTTGCGGCATCAGTATTTTTAGTCGAAATATTAAATCTTACGAATCAACGGGCAATTATATATATATAAACTAACTTGATCTTTGTTGTCTGTTGTCTGTTGTCTGTTGTATCGCTGAGCAGATACGAAATTACGTATTTGTTTCACACTTATACTAGACACTTAAAATGTGCATGCCCGCTGAAAGATCATGCTCATTAACATATATAGCTTTCTCGGGATTAACATTGTTAAAATATTATACGTCAGTGCATTAATTATCTGCGCCATTATTTACGCCAATGCGTTAAATCGTTTGCATGCGTGAGTGCATGCGTTGTTGCAGAACTGATTTAATAGACAAATTCTCCTAACGTTGTTTACCTCGTTGCTATACAACTTTAGCCGAAACTACTATTGTTTACTGAAAAAAAGTAAATAAGCATCAGAATTATGTGTAAGAGCTTTTCGCTCATGTAGATAATTCTAAAGGAGTATAAAGCTTAGGCCCGTTTTATACGTCGAATTTTGGTAGCGTCGAATGCAATTAAGACAATTATTCAGTAAGCTTCATTATCCATTGTTTGAATTGCGATTCGACGCGACCGAACTGATTCGACGTATACAGTATAACAGGCCTTATAGTTACCTAATTACCTCTCTTGTATTCTATGCTTCTGTACACTAAAACAATGATAATTAGGCATGTGAGTTAGGCCTATGGCTATGTAAAGTTGTGAATTGCGCAGTTTGTCTGTTTGTGCTTTATCTAGCTTTAATTTAAGAGTATAACAAACTATACTATTACATAGTTGCCAACTTTTGGAAAAAAACATCCCCCATAGGCTTTAATTAGTCAAATCTCACGGCAAAGGTTGGCGGCCAAGTGGAACATTTTTGAAAATATGGAGTCTCTAGATCGTTGGAAACTGCATTTTCAGAGTCTTCTATACCTTATAAGCCAAAAATAGATAATCAAAACATCCTTACATGCAACCTTGTACTCGTGGGTATTCACAATATGGTTTTGTATATCTAAAATAAAAGCTACCAAAACTTGTGAGTTGTGTATAATAGCGTGAATGTTTTCAGAAGAAAAAAGTTTTATGTAATTTGACGCAAATTGAATACACTCTTGAACGCAAATGAACAAAGCCAACATATTTAAGAACCATGCAGTTGGGTTATTTTCGAAATCCGTGAGAATCCGTGAGATATTAACAAGCTGTGAGCTCACCGTGAGATTTTAGTAAAATCCGTGATGCTCACGGTGAATCCGTGAGAGTTGGCAACTCTGTTAGACATTCAGGTTGTGTCTGTCAGAACTACCGGCCTTTCTCAGAATACTACCCTACATACAAATACTATACGTTTGAGGTACAACAGTAAAACTATAACTGTAGCACACTGACAGTTACCCCAATGCAGTAGCCTAACGCACGATAATTTGTTGAAAAAATTGCGATTGTATTGCTTTCATCTTGCCGTAAATCAAGGAGCATGTCCAAATCTGGTATACTTTCGAAGTGGGGTTAAAAAGTGCATGTGCATAATTATATAACTCGATTAAAATTAGAAGTTCATTTAGAAACATCCGTCGCGTGCGGCTAAAGTTCCTTAGAAAGCTGATTTTGTTTCCGTACAAATTAAACCTTATTTTCTATTAGCCTTTGGCCATTAGCTTTATACTGTATAGAGCAATTAGACTAATAAATAGTCAGAACACTCTTACTATGTCTATAATGACATTTGTAGTATTCAGATTTTGCCATATCCATCATATAGGCCTACCGGCAGTACTAATATTTCAGTTTCAGATCTATTGGCAATGCATGACCCAAGAGTGGATATATTGTATTATTAATTTGAAGATGGTATATAAATGAAGCTGCGGCATAACCTGTTAAAATTTTGCATATATTAAAACAGTTCTGATGTGTTGAATTAATTTTTCTCAAACGTTCAGACATCATGACTTGAACCTGTCAATAAGTGACATCCTTGAAACGAGCCGCAGTCATAATGTAGATCTAGATAAAATATCCTGTCAACGCTTTTCTATACGTTTTCAATCAGTTCACTTTTTTACCTTTTTTTTAAGTGGAAACTTTATATCTTGTATTCGGTAGATAAGTGGAAACTTTATATCTTGTATTCGGTAGAACTCAAGTGTGTAATTAATAGATAATTACTGAGGCCAACGGCATTATTCGATATATTGCA